GTAGACTGCAGAGACTTGGTGTGTGTGTGTGTGTGTGTGTGTGTGTGTGCGTGTGTGTGTGTGTGTGTGTGTCGGAGGGAGTGACAGGATGTGTAATGTTTACATATGAGGCTGTCTCCCCTCCATCTGTCCTCCTATTGGCTGAGAGCTCTGCAGAGGGAGGAAGTGGTTGAAGTGGTCACTAATGGCAGTAGATTAGCATCTGGTCTATGTGAAGGATGCACAGAACACAAATGCGCACACAGTTGTGTCTTCAGAGGACATTGCACTGACTTACACTGGTTTCCTAGACAGGACCTGACTACTGAGAGCAGTCACTACCTGCGTAGTGCTAACCTGAACCTAAACCTAAACCTAAACTTCTACCAAGTCTTGCCCCTCAAACTGATTGATTTACATTATGGGGACTTGTTTTTTGTCCTCAAAAGGACAAAAAGCTGTCACCCAGCTGTGTGTCATTGTGTGTAACTGTATAAAGCTTCTTTATGTGTCTTCTGTGTATGTGTTTGTCTGAGTCATTGTTCTGTTGTGTGTTTTACGTTGATCATGCACAGCAGCTGCATGAACATTCACCTTTTGCATTTTAATTTCTGCACTTGTGTGATTATTTCAGATCCAGAGCCCCATGGTGACACCGCACCCTCCAGGGGGTCTAGGATGTGATGACAGTGAAGATGCCTACGAGGAGGCAGAACCTTATGTACCTGCTGACACAACCATGCCTAACACTGGTGTGTACAAATGCACAAACACACACACTTACATGCTAATGGAAAAACACTAACAGTGGTCTTCTTCTCCAGAGAAAGCAGAGTCAGACAGCAGCCACTATGAGTCGTACGGTGAGGAAGATGATGATGAGGGGGAGGAGTTCATGAAAGACAGAGCTCACTACATCCAATGGAGCGCCTCGCAGCCCTGCCTGAGACCCACCCCCGAGTCGCGCCTCTGTGCTTACCTGTGGAGGAGGAAGTGGCTCGGACAGTGGACCAAACAGCTGTTCATCGTCAGGAGCGATGTGCTACTGGTGAGGCGGGAAACGACAGAAACACAAATCCATCTGTCACTTAGTCAGTTGTACCGACTCTGAACGTCCCCTTCATTCTAACCACTGACCCTGGATCTGCACAGAAGTGTGACCAGACCCACCCCTCAAACCCCTTGTCCTCACAGTCTTTACTTGATGTTGTGTGTATCAGTGTTATAAGTGCGCTCGGGACCTGCTGCCTCAGCTGGAGTTGAACCTGCGTGGCTGTCGGCTCGTCTACAAGTTCAAGATCAACAGGAAGATCCACCACCAGCTCAAACTGGTGCTGCTGGGCTCTGAGACACTGGTGCTTGGATACAGCAGCTTCCAGCAGGCCGACGAGTGGAGGAGGGTCAGCAGCACACAAATCCCAGCATTCACACTCTCTCATGACCTTACCCTCAGTATGGTGGAGCCAGTGTTTATAAAGTCCAGTTTTGGTGCTGTCCATCATGTTACCTTAGACCTCTAGCCCACTGACAGTATGTGACGGCTTTAGTTACTTTGTTATAACATGCAAGACATTCGCTCAGCAGTCAGTTTATTAGGAACACGTCTCAGACTAAGTCAGTCTAAGCAAAGTTGTTCAGCCTCATTGATATAAATAGAACAATAGTCCAGCTGAACAGCAGAACAACCTGTAGCCTCCACAGCGACCACACAGGTGAACCAGCACCAGTCTGAACACAAACTGAACATCATCACCTCCATGAAGGCAGGTTCACTGCAGCACCATAGGGTCTGACACAGGGGTTTGTTCTAAACCCATTTGGTCATAGATTAAAGAAATAACCTGCAGATGAACTGATATAAATTATTGTCAGTTGCAGCACTTGCTGTAACAAAACCAACAGGAGAGCTGAAACATAGCACGAAGATAAAAAAACATTTTCAATGTGCTACTCTTTTATAAAATGAGAACTTAGAGAAAATGAAATGAGTGCATGTAATAATTTCACATGTAACACTTACCTTAGTACAGAATCTGAGTATTTCGTCCACTGGTTTTTGATTACAGCTTATAAAGTGTATTCTATACGCACAGTAAGATGGTATATATTGTAATCTGTATGTGTGCAGGTGATAGAGGAGGTGAGTGCTGGATGTGAAGAGACGTCATCACCTCTGATCAGATCAGAGCAGCTGCTGTCCTGCAGGGTGAGAAGCACACATTTTATCTCTAACCTAAACCTGATTCTAACCAAAGCTAGGTCTGAACCCTGAAACAGCCCTGAAGGTTTGAGGATTGGACATGTCCTCATAATGCAGAAGCTGTGTGTCTCTTTCTTCAGTCCAGTACAGTCCAGACTGACTCTGAGGAGGACAAACCTTCATTTTTCAGCAGCTTCAACAAGGACAAAGGTACTGGGACATCAGGATTGTCCTTGGTAGTTTTTAGTGTGGTCATTTTGACACTAGACTGGGTTTGTAAAGCTCCAGATAACCGTGCTGCTTACATTATATTACTCTACTCTGAGCTCAAGGACACAGCTAAAAAAGAAAGTGCAGTAATCTGACTGTCGACTCTGGGCCTTCTTGTCTTTAGAGGGCAGCTCTTCTGAACTAACAGTGGTTGCAGAAAGTTTTCTGAGGCCTTTCCTCTTTTGACAGGCTTTCTGAATGTGCTGATGAACTGCCAGTGGCAGAACCTACTGTGCCAGGTGGAGGACGGTCTCCTCAGCATGTTCGGAGAGGAGGAGGAGGGAGAAGGGGAGGGGGAGAGGGAGCAACCTCCTCAGTACAGAGTCCAGCTCAGAGGCTGTGAGGTCCGAGCAGGGCCCGACACAGACTGCTCCTACAGGATCACACTGAGCATGCTCGGTGACCAGGTCGCCGTGCTGGAGGTGAGCTGAGGGCGCAGGAGACAGGAGTTCATTCATGCAGCCAGGTTTCACTCAGTATGTTTCCATCCTCTCCTTTCAGGTCAGTAGTTCAGGGGAAAAGGAGCGGTGGTTGAAGCTGCTGCAGGACGGAGCTGCCAATCACAGTCACCATGGCAACGCCCCACTGTACACAGGTGGAGCTCTCAGGTGAGGAGCGCGTCTGTTCATACATCCATCAAGTGGTTTACTTTTAGAACATGTCAAACTTCGTGTTGTGTTGTTTCGTTGCTGTCCACAGTGGGCTGCAGACGCACAGGTTACCCACCTCCAACACCTACATGGACAACCCCTTCCATGTGTGTGGACCAGGCCGAGACCAGCCCATCTACTCCAACACCTCCATACTGGAGCACATGGTACGACCCCAGCTGGGGGTGAGCAGTTCACAGTTCCTCTCAGCTGCAAAGCAAAAACATCTTCTGTACAGATGAATGAGGAAAACACGTTTCTTTGTGCAAGATGAGATTTTGAGTTTGCCTCCATTTCTTGAGGTGAGGTGGACTCAAATAAAGTGAAGCCTACTGAAGCTTAACAAATGTGTAGCCGCGATCATCCCAAGTGCCCAGAAATGTCCGTGGATGTTCAAGTGACAGGGCCCAGCAACTGTCAGAATTATGACTGATCAGTCAGGAGCTGATGAGAAAGCTTTGTGGATCCCAATGGTTCCACAGTGTATCTGTGTAAAACCAGTGTTTGTGATCTCGCTGTTCTTTATTTCAGCTCTTTGAGGATTCTGTTCACTGCAGCTCCGTGTTGTCCAAAGACTCAGCGACCCACAGCAACACTGTCTCCTCCAGCCTCAGTGAGTCTCCTCATGAAGTGTTCACCTTACACAGGAGCCTCATCCTGACCCGGCCTTGTCATCCCCCTGGTTTGGGAGCAGTAACATACGTGTGTGTGACCTCTGACTCTTTAATGCTTAAAGTTCATTTTGTCCAAACTTCAGATTTGGGCCATATGTAAAATAAACAGAAATCCACTAATCCAGAGCTCTAAACTGTCCTTACAGAAATCTAGAGAAAACACGTCCCCAGAACACTGCTCTACAACATTTACACTGAATTATCCAGGCTTGTTGTTTTTGGCTGCCAGGCTACCAAGAGAATCTGTAAATAGTTTAGAGATGAAACAAACAGAACAAACTGGAGCAGCAGCATCTCTGGTTGTCACTTTGTTCTTTAACCATGTCAAGCTGTGCTGTCACTGTGCTCTCTCACAGTTTTCAGTAAGAAACTGTGGAGTAGCTGATTTTCTTCCTTCCTGGTCAGTGTTTAGACTTTTTGAGAAACAGAGCAATAAACACATTCTTAACGGCAGTTTCTGTCTTGTTGTGTGGTTCAGACATGAAGGTGGGTGAAGTGGAGCAGGGTGTTCAGAAGCTGAAGCTGACCGGGAAGAGGATGGTGCAGCTGCGGACGGGCTCAGAAAACAACCTGGCGTCAGCTGGGAAGCAAAACAAACGCACCGCCTTCAGAAGGTCGTTGGCCGTCTGCGCTGAGCGCGCTCAGGTGAGCAGCATCTCATCCACATGTAAATGGAACGAGACATTCACTTCAGGTCACCGATTCAGTTCAGCCTGGGTTCAATCTGACTGAACTTTGACCCATGAAGCGTGTCCAGCCAGTTTGGGGGGTGGGGGTGGAGGTGGGAGATGGGAGATGACCACTTCTTCCCATAAGTGCAGGTGGAACAATCCCAGCAGAGGACAGGTGGTGTTGGGCTGCAGTAGGTCCCACACCATTTAAACCATTAATAAACAGATCTGTGAACTGTTGCTAGCCTGTTAGCCATGCTGGCTCCTGTAGGTGTTTGCAACCCTTCCCCAGCTGCTTCCTGTTTCCTCCTTCTTCTTCTGGTCACATCACAAGGACATTTCCCCTGCTGGGTTTTGGTCTGACTGCATGATCACACTTAGCACACAGCAGGTACACTCACCTTGTAGCACTGTTACTACTTCTACTACACTACCGCAGTACACCAGCTGAGTAGTTGCATGAGACAACATCTCGTCCACTCAGATCTGTTTGGGTAGAATAAACAAAGTTGGGGGCTCTGTGTTCAAGCTAACACTGGTCCAAAACAGCTTTCTGAGATAAAAATGACATTTAACTGCATCTTCTGCTCAATACCGTCGGTGTGTGTCAGCACCTCCTCTCCAGCCTTCTCCCTCAGAACACAACTGTAACTAACTCAGCCTGTTCACTGGTTTCAGTGGTTTGTGCTGTAACCTCTGCTGGTCTCTGCTGCTCCAGGCTGGTTTCCTGAACCCTCTGCTGCGACGGACAGCCTCAGCTAAAAGCTCCCTGAGGCAAGCTCCTTCATCGCTGCTCATCGAACATTGAAAGGTTTTCCAGAGGAGGAAGGTCAGAGTCACACGCATTGCTTCTGTCTGCTGATTAATGGTCCTCTCTAAAACAACCACTGGTCTCTAGCCTGCTAAATATAAACCACGTCCACTCAACACTCCTGCTTTTAGACCAGATTTAATGAGGAATATATCAGCGTGTAGAGTCCTGATGCTTCCTGCACAGTCAAATCGATTCTATTTTTAGTTCCAGCTCTGTGCTGTTTGCTCCACCACTGTGGTCGCACAGTTGTGGTCCTCTCAGGATGAAGTGTAATAACCTTCTTCTTCAGTATTTGTGTATGACAGCAGAAGAACCATCCTGGAGTAAAATCACTGATTTTCCAGCGGCCTGGTCTGCTACAAATCATTCAGCATCGTAAAATGATCCAACCTCTGAATCCAATCTGTATCTAAAGCTCCATCTATTATCACCTGAGCTGTTCTGTTACTGTCGCCTGTTTCCACAGGAGTGGGAGACCAAAGATGTTGCTTGACTCCACGGCTGCAGTCAAACGTGGAGTTATTTCAGACTGACTACAAGTTGCTTTGTTCAAATGATTGTCAGTGCTGTGGCCCAGCCACCTCACCCAGCTTCATTTGTTCAACACTTTCTGTGCGGTGACTTTTTAATGATGGAGTTTTCTGATGAAATATAGTTTGTCTGAGGAAGAGCTGTAAACACAGTGCACCTACAGAGTGCACATACAGTGTGTGTGCTGTACTGTCTGGAGCTCCACTACAACACCTGTGAAAAACTTTCACCGTTTGTTTGCGGTTGTTGGGCCACATTACAGGATTCATTTTGTCCACTAATAAACAAGTGTAGAAAACAACAACCCACAATTTCTGTTGTTCCAAAACATGATAAACAAGTACAGTGACAAATGCATCTGTCTGTCAAACTGCACCCGAAGCCACAGATTCAGTCTGACTCTGTTATTTGGTTTGTGAGTCATGTTTTTCTTTGTGTTTCTAAGTTTTCTTGTTTATTACAGCAAATGGACAAAAGTTCCAGGACACAGATTCTCTGAGACGTTTGCAGGACTTGGAGCTAATGCTAGCTAGCTTGTTAGCCACAGCCATGCTAACTCTGAAAACGCTGTTTAACACCAGGTGTTTTTAGGTCATTGCGGTTAAAATGTTGGACAGCACTGAAAGGTCATCAGTGTAAAAAAGACTAAATATGTTTCTTTCCCTCTTTTTGTTCAGGGTTAATTGATTCTTCATATGTTAGCATTAACTGTTAACTGGGTAAACAATGACCCTTCTACATATAGTTTCTATTAATTTGTGTTTTCATTAATAGACAAAATCAACCCTATGCAACGTGGGTTCCAGTGAATCTCTGTAGAAACAAGTCAGTGAACCCCGACACTGAGCTCAAAACTGCAAACATCTCAGTTCTGAGTTGCACATTTGTTTTAAACATGGGGCTTGTTTCGTATATTTGTGTTTGATCCCACAGGATTCTGGTGTGTAGTTGTATAACTGAATAAGTCTGGATCTGTTTTCACTTTGTACCGACTATCAGCTTCATGATTCATGTTGGTACCATGACATTCGCTTTTATATTTACTGTACTTTGTACACAGGAGAATGTTTCTTTGTCTGTTTTAACTGAACACTGACCTGTAGGACTATGATATTAAAACTAACTTTTACAATATTTTTTTCTTATGCTAGTGAAAGTTTCAATCATTCATTGGGCCACATAGACCAAACAGTGTGTTCACACTGCTGTGGACACACCAGGTCTGAGGCACCGGGAGGGAAACTTCAGCTTGGACGTGACTGAAGCTTTAGACATTTGTCATGACTTCATCATATGACTTTTGTTTTTACTCTGTAACAATATGAGATGTAGCAGAGTACAATGCATGAGATAAAACATGCTGACCAAAACCACCAGTTCCTAAAGATCAGGAGGAACAACACAGTCCTGTGAAGTATAAAACCTAATGTGAGGGAGCAGATGGGTTCCCACCGTGCTCCTCTCAGGACTCCACACTGATCATGTGAGACAGGTGAACAGAGTCCGCTCGAAGCAAATAGAAACGCTCTTTATTGTAACTCATGGTTAATCATTCACGTCACCATTCATCTGTTACATCACCTGCATCCACATACAAAAACAACAACAGCAATAATTATATTATCATTCAGTGGTTCAGTATATATAGCAGCAGGGCGTCTTCAGGCAGGCGAGTCATCATCAGTGAGTTTGACCTCTGACCTCAGTGTGATGTCAAAGTCCAAAGAAACATCAGAGTAATAATCCTCTTGTACCTAAGAACAGGAACTCATATCTGCCAGTGTTGTTATGTATCGATTTAAATAAAAATGATGACCTCATGCATGCTGCAGTTACATTTGCCTATTGGATGCCTTGACAGCGACACGCCTCCACAAAGACACCCTGCCTGTCAAAGAGAGTCAATAAAAACAGAATGAAACACTTCAAAATATACAAAAAGAAAAAAATAAACATGTAACAATCTTTGTGTCATCGTGGTTAGTCACAGCAAGCCACTTCCTGTCTCGAACTAAATCACAACCACTCAGAACGAAGCCTAAATCCTCTCACTGTCATTAGACGGCATCAGAATCATTCCTCAGAAAGAAGAACAAACGTAAAGTGACCGATGCTCATGGACAAATTGCACGTCTTCACCCATTTCTTTGTTTTTCAGTTTTGAGATGATGCACAGAGGCAGGTGTGTGACGCAGGATGTGGCGGCGGTGAGAGTGAATTCTACACAGCTGTTTACGCTTGGCACAGGTCTGAGCTGCTCCTTTAAAGGTACTCTATCTTCAGCAATTAATGCAAAAACAATGACTGTGAACTGATGAGAACAAGCCGTCGGCCTCTGAAATCTGCTTTAATCTGTTAAAATCTGCCTGGACTCAGAACAAACACTCATATTTTACTTGTGTAAAAGTACTAAGAATTAAGACTCGTCCCTTCTGCGTAAGAAAAACCCAAACACCTGTGTGGGATCGTCTCGTCTGCACGAGACCCTGAGAGAGAACCTGATGGACAAGTCGTTTAAAGGCGGCAACAGGGCTGAGGTGCAAGACCAACAGCCATCTCAGTGGTTTAACTCATTACAATAAACTATCTGTAATCACTGGACTGTCCTCTATATAGATATAAAATCTTACACACTGCACCTTTAAGTGGCCAGTTCAGTTCAAAGTTCAGGTTGAAATCTGCGTCTGCTTGTTTTTAATGAGTGAAAGCTGCTGACTGTTCATTTGTTTCATTGAAGTGTGGATCAGATCATCGACGCGTGTGGGCATCAGATGTGACGCTGCTGGAGATGAATACATCTTAGATATGTAGCTTTGGGCTGAAGTTGTTGCACATATATTGAAGTGTGTGTGTTCAAACATCTCCAATGATTTCCCATCATCCCTCAGTTGTCTTTAGGTTCCTTGGGTCTTGGGTCCTGCCATGCATCTCGGTGTCCTTGGACACTTGAAATGTGTCTTCTCTCAACATTCTCATGTTGATAATTGATTTTACAAACATGCTGTTTCTCTGCGTGTGGTTAAAAATAGCTCAACATCATTTGGTCACTGTGCAGCGGTAGCTGACATTAAATGTGTCTAGCCTGCCGACTGGACAAACCACAGCTGTGCAGAGACACAGTTGAGCTGCGTTGATGTGATACAACAAACAAACTGTGTCTGAGCTCAGGGACAGTTTCACAAAGTCAGACTTGTAACTCAGAGCTAATTCAGACTTCAGACAGACGAGCTATACAGCTTTGTGCATGTGTTGCACAAAGCTGTATAGCTCTTGACTACCACCATGATCATACTGCTGCCCCCTAGTGGCCCGGAGTGCCAAAGCCCAAATACCTTCACCTGAAGTAAAAACATCCAAATTGGCTCCAACAACACTGAAGGTGTTAGTTATACATCAGTGTTTATTTTGGTGACACTGTCTAACCTGCACTAGACCAGTCTAAGTGCTAAACGTACACCAACACTACAGACCAGTCTGAAATATCTGTGAAACCGGCCCCTGGTTCTACGGTTACTGTTCTTGTAAACTGCAAAAAATCTCCAAGAAGTGTAAATATCTGTGAAACCGGCCCCTGGTTCTCCCCTGGTTCTAAGGTTACTGTTCTTGTACACTGCAAAAAATCTCCCAGAAGTGTGTGTGTCTGTGTGTGTGAGATGTGCATAGACAAACAGGGCAGTGGTTTGTGAACAGGAAAGAAAACACAAGAAGGAGACAGTTTCATCACAGCTGAGCTGAACTGGTGGCGTCCAGCTGGGCAAGCTGTTTGAAATGGCACAATGACGTGTTTTTTAAAGTCGACATTCAGTCTTTCAAAATGATACAAGGATAATGCATGTGCACGTGTTTGTGTTTCATCTACATAACATTCACCTCCAGCTAGAGTTCCTGGTTACAAAGAGCTGGAAGAAGCTTACACAAAAATAGCTTTTACTACAAAGGAGTCCAGAAGTTGGGAGCAGATTGTGGTTAATCTTTGCAAACCATCGTCATCAGAAAACATGAAATGAAGAGTAAACAAAACTTGTCCAAGTTCAGCTGTCACACACTTTTTCCAGCGGAATCCCATTTAAAAAAGAAGCTGCGTTAAAACCTGAAGCTGTGAAGTAAAGCCAGAGAATAACTTATTAAGTGAATTTGGTGTGTAGCATTAGCTACATCAGCATGATGAACAGAATCACAGGGTGCCAGCATGCAGCCGCTGGATGCAATGTGAAACATCAGACTGTGATCAGCCTGTCTCCTTGTTTTTCTTTTCAGTGCTGGGAGAGAAAATCTGTCACTATGACATCACAGGTGGCTCAACCAGTAGAAACAGTCCTTTTAAAAAATGTCTAACAGCCTTGTCCCCGTGATTAGCATGCTAACACCACAGCGGCTGTACTGAAACCTGACTCACAGTCAGCAGGATGTTGGTTTAATGCCCGACTGCAGCTGAAGATAAAATATTCACTTCACTTGTTCAGCCTAAATAAATCCAGAACAAAACAGCAGAAACACGCTGGTGTGTAGCTTCAGACGGCACCATGACACCCCATTTCAGTCTCTGCACTCAACACGTCAGCCTGAGCCTAACACCAGAGGAGCAGAGGTTTAAGCCGAGAGAGAAGCCAACAGCAGAATCAACTTCATTTCCCAGAATGCCTCCTCTACAACCAAACCACTGAGCTTCACATATGATGAGCAGAATAACGTTCAAGTGCAGCTGCTGACTGATTTAACAACTAATCTTCTTCCTGATTTCATCTCGTTCCACAAAGCTGAGACTCCCCTGGGGTTTGCTCTGGTCTCTTGGATGCCAGTCACCCGCTGTTGCTGCTTCTCTCTTATGATTCTGCTCTGCTGACTCTGGAAAACCTGCTCTGTGCCTCCAAATAGTCTAAAGTCTCCACTAGCAGAGGGAGTATCTGTGCTCACGCGGTAGTTTTGTCCTTAATGAGCTCTGATAGACGTTATTTTCTGAACAGCTTGTGATGCGACTGTGTGCAGCAGAAATCTACACCCTGTTTTCTCCGAGCTGCCTGCACACTGACCAACTGTGATGATGGTGGTGGTGTTTGTGCTGCTGATAATGACAATTTGTTCAGAGTCTGTGATCCACGAAGTGCAGGGGATTGTGGAAGATGTTGTCCCAATGGTGTCAGAAGAGACAGACCTTCTTCTTCAGGTCGTTCCTCTTCCACAGGGAGAGCTGGTCGAACTCCTCAATGGACATCCCGAAAACACTGAAGAACTCCTCCTGAGAGAGGTGTTTCTGCAGGGGCGAGAGACATGCACCGAGACAGAGCGACAGAGAAAGAGAGGTCAGCGTGATGAACAACAGATCGTCTCCTCCACTAGTGAACACAGAAACATTTTGCTCTGCAGCTCATGCTGTGTTTTATCTTTGGGCAGACCTGAACACTTCTCTTAATCTGGCCGGTAAAGGTTTGGAGCACTGACAGTTCTCACCTCCAGTCTGGTCCTGTCCACACCAGGTGGCAGCTTGCTCCGTCCTCTGTGAGTCACCACCAGCACCTCGTAGGGGTAAATCTGCAGACAGCAGCAGTGATTACACATTGGTACAGTCCTGTTCACCTCCACTGTGTCAGGGTCTCAAAGCCTGGACACATTAAAGTAACTGAGTACATTTACTCAACTACAGTTCTGAGGTACCTGTACTTGGTATTTCCCTGTCCTGCTACTTCATACTGTGACTCCAATTCAGAGACAAACCGTGTACTTTTTACTGCACTACATGTACCTGATAACTTCAGTTCCAGAATCAGATGAATCAAACCAAACCCAGTAGAACCATCAGACTCTATTGATCCCAGTGGGAAATCCACCAGCTACCCAGCAGGATGGAAAGTACTTTACAGTATAAGTATATAAGGTAGTTAACATCTGCTCAGTAGTATCAGAGACATTACTGGGACATGGGCCATTCTGCAGGACAAGTACTTTGGATACTTCAAGTTTATGTGGATGTTGATACTTTTGTAGTTTAATTTGTTGAATCCATGACTGGTACTTGTCACAAGAGTATTTTTACACTGTGGTATTCCTACTGTACGGGTCTGAGTACTTCTTCCAGAGCTGTGTATCTGCACAGAAACGGTCCTGCTGTCACCTGATGCTCTAACATGCTGGGGAGGGATGTTCCTCTGTCCAACCTGGAGTCTCCGTTCTGACACACACACACACACAGTGGACACACGTATTACAGTAAGACGTTGAGGTGATAGGTCTATTTACTAAAGTACTGCTTCTAAATACAAATTGTACTCAAATATTTCCATTCCATGCTACTTCAGAACAAACTCCACTACATTTATGCAAAGCTTCATGCAAAATTTGAACAGTTTCTAAAATATGACATCAAGTTATAAATGACACTACAACAGTAAATACAAGTACAGCTAGAAGTACTTAGTAATATGTTGACAGAAAATCAGCTGGCAACTGCTTTGTGTTAAGTCAGTTTTCAGTTTTAAACATTTAATGGTGGTGAAAATGTGCTGCTTTGCCTTTAAATCATTTACATTTATCTTTAATCATTTGACGTTTGGATGAGTTTTGATCTTTTACTTAGTGTTTTTACAGAGTGGTATCAGCACTTTCTACGTAAAACATCTAAGTACATCCTTCTCTACTGTTCAGAGGCAAAGTCACACAGATATCATCACAACACCAAGAGCAACACAACCGTGTCTTCATGACTGGCACATTCCTGGACATGCAGATTCTGAAAACAGACTGTACCTGAAGACCTGCAGGCAGAGAGGACGAGAGAGACAGCAGAGACACACTAAGTACAGCCAGGATGAGACATAGACGATGTGAAAACATTTGCATTAACTCGACTGTGTGTGATTTGATGACAAAGAGCCTGGAAATGTATTTCTCAGTGTGGGTTGAATGTTTAAACACCACAGTTCGTGGATAGACAACCTTCACAACACATGGAGTCTGCATGTTTAGCGTAGCTGTAACTGGACCTGATGCCAGGTAAACGATAACAATCTGATTTTACATGTATCATCAGGAACATTTGCTGTGTTATTCACCACAGTTATTCTCCAGTTCATGGCCTCACATGACTGTTTAGTGGTGAACACAGGTCCATCTCATCTACAGCCAAGGTGTCGGCTGAGGACCTCAGTGACGCTGTGCGTTTGTACACTCATAAGAACAGACAGAGGAGGAGGTTACCTGCTGGCGTTTTCTCTGAGGAGCTGAACTCTGCTGACCGCAGCTGCAAACAAACATAAACATGTTTGGTGCTGTTGTCATTAAACTGTGAATGTGTGTTTGTGTTGAGCAGGACTCACCCTGGACAGGCCCGTCCTAGAGGATGCTGGGAAATACACAGACTTGGAACCTGAGGGAGAAAAATGAGTGAGAACCGAGGCGCTCAGGTGGCATCAGGCATGAATCACATGACTGACAGGTGATTAAAAACTGGGTGCTGGAGGAGGGCAGGACGTCTATGTATGTGACTGGAGCAGGTTCACTGAGTGAAGTCTGTACCAGGCATCTGTGATGTACGCAGGCCAAACCTTTAGGTAGAGTACTCATAACGAGTGAGGTACTGAGCTACTGAGCTACTGGGGTACTGGGGTACTGAGCGCTGGTGAGACCTCTGACCTGAACCTGAACCCGGTCAGACCTGCTGCTGCATGTCAGGATCTTATGACCTACAGTACAGTGATGGATCAGGGCTCCAGTGTCACATCCTGCAGAGCTTCACTGGCCACGGGAAACAAACTTTAAAACGGTGAATGTGTACCGGTGTTTTGGCTGTGGTCCGGCAGTGAGCGAGTCTTCCTCCTCAGAGGACCTGAGGACCTCCCCAGCTCCTCCCTCAGGATGATTTTTCCCAAATTTGACTGAATCTGAAGTGAGAGAGAGAGAGAGAGAGAGATGTAGTCTGGTGTTTTGTTGTGGCTGATCCTCACTGCCGTACCGTTTCTGAACTGTACGGTAAAGCTCCTCCTCTTCCTGCATTTAAACAAAAGGCAGTAAATGTTCACACCTAAGAAGCTGGATCCATGAAATGTTTAGTCATTATAAATGAAAGATGCCTTCAACAGTTGCCAATCAGTTTTCTGCCAATCAGTTGATCAGCTCATCATTTCAGCTGAACGTGTATTTACTGGTGATCGATTTATAATAATCACATTCGATCGGCTCCGTGTTCTGTTTGCAAACACCTGAATCTGTAACGTAACTGATGAATAGTGAAGTCAGTGTACTCTGTTTCTGTCAGAGTGGAAGTGCCTTAAAATTTAGACTTATTATTATTAGTACTACACGTACATTCAGATTGGACATCACAGTATTAGAACACGGCCTCCATGTCCAGTCAAAGTGCATCAGTACCTTGTTGAGCTCTTGCTTCTGCAGCACCCTGAGGTCCCACAGTTCATCAGCCAACTCTCCATCCTCCTCTTCATCTTCATCTTTCTCCTTCTTCCTCCTCCGCTCCTTCTCTAGAGAGACAAGAGGACAGAGGAGACAAGGACAGGAGAGAGGAAATGAAACAAGGGGAAATGAGTTTCATTTAATTAACAGGATTTTCTAATTAAAAAGGAGGCGTGGGTGTGTGTGTGCGTGTGTGTGCACGTGCTCTGAGCGTACCTGTCACAGCCAGAGAGGGGGGGCAGGGCCAGTACTCGGTCTCGATCTTGGAGGGCAGGTTTGGGTCCGGAGGCTGAGCTGCAGGGAACTTTGAGGACTCGATGATCAGGTCCTCGATGTGTTTCCCCTGAGGGACGGCTGAGGACAACGCATCTGGACACACACACACACACACACACACACACACACACACGCACACACACTGAGATGGAGCACAATACTGTTTGATTTATTTCAGGAACATATGTTACACACTGTGTTCTGGTTCTGTGGGGTTCTGTGTGGTTGTTGTGTGCTGAGCCTGCTCTGACAGCAGTGTCCATCCACCATAAAGACTCTGTCACCGTTTGGTTTTCAGGCCAACATCAGATTTAGTAGACATACTCCCATATTCCCAGTCATAAGAACAACCTGACCAGTGTTTACAGTGCAGTAACTCCCAGGTGACAGGAGCGAAACACAGAGAGTGAAGTTAGCAGGATCTGATGCACAAGCTAGGTCACATTACTCTAGTGAACACACAGCGGTGGCCTGTGTGACCCCGAGTCAGTCTGAGGGACCAAATATGGCTAAACTGGGTTAAATGCCAGTGTAACAACCTGTACCTTGTTTGTAGATGGGAGGCTTCTTATAGATGTTGGTACCATTGTCTGAAAGAAAAAAGAGCAGCA